ATGTCTCCTTTAGGTCCCCTAAATAAGCTCTCTTTCTTACTTTTGGCATGCTAGGTATTCTTTTACTAATGGAAAAAATAATCTTATCAGCAAATGTGGAAGTAAAATAGTTTATGTAAATAAAATACTGAAGGCCTAGTTATGCCGTTGTACAATACATTAGAAATGAAAGTAAAATTAGTGTGGATGTGGGAAAAGATGTTACAAAACTCTACCACAGTTTTACAACATGATGGTTGTGTGCTCAAATTAGAAAGAACAACTGAAGATGTTTGAATATGCATCTGTAATTCTGAAGAGCTATTATGTTCTTGTTCTCAGAACTGGCTTGTCGGCGATATATAAAAAAGAAATAAGTACAGTCAGTTACATGTCCATTGGGATCATTTCTGGATTACAAAATCCAGCTCAAAGTGTTCATTTCTGTTCTAGATTTGTTCTGGTGGAATTATAATATTTGAGTTTGGGTTGGATGTTTTTTGTTCCCTTCATGCTTGGTGTTTCTGGTTCTGAAGGCTTTAATTTTACCATGATTAGGAAAGCCAAATATAGACAAAACCAGTGCCTAGGAGGGAGTGGATAAGCTATTTACTAATGAACTTTAGGATGTCCTTCACTCCTCAAATAATCTGAATAATTAGCATTTAAAGTACATGGCCACAGCTGTTGCAAGAGAATGCCTGGGAGAAGAACCAGCACTTCAACTGCACAAATTCATCATCTTGTTATGCCTTGCACACACAATAGTCAAAGGAGCCTATATAAATTCCAGAGCATTTGTCAGGAAGGATCAGGTCACTAACTATACTGAGAACTAGACCAGATGTGCCAGTAAGACACACTAAATCCTGAGGCTTGTCTGAGGCAAGACCTGGATTGTCAGGTGGTCACTGGGTCCCTATTTCTGCTAGGGATTCCCAGAAATTAGTCATGTCAACAAGCAGGGTCGTCCATTTCACAAAAAAAAAAAAGGAAGGCAGAGAGATATTTAGTAGAAAATGTTGTGCTGAGAGCTAGAAGGTATGCTTTATCAAATTACACTGTTTCATTTGTGTCAGAGATGAGAACCCAGGTTCCAAGAAGCCATCAACTTCTTGCATTCTATACCCTGAAAACCATCTTAGGATCTTCCTTTGAAGCTGTTTTGCTTTAAACAAATAATTAAATATTCATTGACCCAGAGAGAAGGAAAAAAAGTAGGTATCCCTATATTCAGACTGTTGTGGTGGTAAAGGTTCTGTCAGCATCAACACTACAGGTCCCCCTGGTCCAAAGAATCTTTAATGATTTTATATATAGGAAGATTCCTAGAGAGGATTAATTCAGAGATCCTCACCTTAAAATTTCACATATTGTCTGACAAAATGTTCTCACGGATTATGGGAACTCCTCAAAAGAAGAGGAATTAGAAAATTAGTCTCCCAAAACTGCTGGAGGTTACAGTACTGGGATTATTGGGCAAAATAAGGATGCTTCTATCTGAAAATGTTTGGGCTTTTTTTTTTACCAATTTTTGTAGAAGGAACTTATCTAGTGATCTAATGCATGCACATGACCAAAGGTCTTTAAGAAGCTAAGTGCATGTCAGTCTGGACTGTTTTACCTGTGGGATTACCTATGTGTGGGAGTGATCCTTCAGTTCTTTTGCTTTTTGCATTTATTTCACTGAACCACTAACCTGATACCATTTTTTTTCCCCAGACTTAATAATGATTATCCAAAGTTCCAATATTTAGACTACCAATTCAATTTTTGCTTACTATTTCTAGATTTCGTTTGTTTCTTCAAGTGCTCAAGGCCTTGTCCAACCAAGTTTTGAAAATCTCCAAGACTGGGGATTCAAACTCTCTGGGTAACCTGTGCCAGTGCTCAGCCACTCTTTTTACACCATTAAAAAGACGCTCAAAATCAAGTCAATCATCCTTAACATTTGTAATTTTGTTAATAGTTATTTAAAAGAGCTTATTTAATCTAAAATTACTGGAAAACGTAAACTGAACATTATCTTAATACTACTGATATAAGATAATTAGAAGTCATCTGACATCCCAGTGGAGAATAAACCGGTCACACTTAGTGTTTGACACTGGACTATCTGGTTTCATAAAACTATTAAGTTTTGAGTTTCTGCTACTATTTCACAAATGTCGCATGGGCAGTTTTAACAGTCATTTCTAATTTTTGAGAGCTTGACTCGAAATCTTAGTATTACTTAAACACTGTATGACTTTTTCCCCCCATTGATTATACACTAGCAGTATGATTATAAAAATAGGATTCCAGCTCTTCTTTGTCTTTACATAGTGGCTTGACTTTCAAAAGTGCTTTACTTATTATTAGCATTGACTTCTAAGACTAATATAGGTATATAATCTAAATTAGGGATTACAACTTCAGGTACTTTTTGAAAATCACGGCACAGATCTGTTTTTAACCTCAGTGGTTCTGCTTTTTAATGACTGCAACTGGCTCAGTAAAGGGAATGGACAATTGCAAAACTGTAGCAACAGATCACATCAGCGAAGCTTGAATTTCTTTTCCTGGTTTTGGTAGTTCAGGAAAGTACTGACAGGATATAAGCAATGCAATAATATAAAACAAAGTAAGCACTCCTGATAAACTTGATTTTTTACTTAGTCAGGGGTTAGCTGATTGTTTTTCACAGATCTTCCCCTTGCCCAGTGGGATGGCCCTGTGGTGGTTCAGTAGGAAATCAGGCTGCACAGAGGTTTTGGTCTGTAGCTAGAAATCTGGTGTCCAGAGAAAGCAAAAAGCAAGCCATTGACTTTTCAGCAGTCTTATTGTGGCAGAACTTACTTCCTTATTAAAAATAAACTTTAAAAAAAGGTAGTATGGACTTTAGACATTGCAAATTTTTTATGTTTCCCATTTAGTTTGAAGTTATGAGATATTCTGGATCTCATGCTTTAGGTAGGCCTGTAGGATTTCTAAGACAATTTGTTGCTCATTATGGAGTGATCATCAACTTCATTTAAGAGAAAAAAGAAGTTGGGGTGAAATGCAGTAGACGCATTTGTAACCTGTGCACTGGTCCACTCCCATTTATGCCGTGTGAAGAAGCTGTGCTTTCAAAGCTGTTGATTGCAGTGCTCTGCACTTCTGGAAAGAGCCCTTCATCAGTTTAGGCAGCGCAAGGGTCTGGGTGGTGGTGACTTTGTGTGGGTTCATTCAATGACCCTAGAGTCCAGCACAAGCACAAAGTGCCTCTGAAACAGCAGCAGAAAACAAGGGTGCACAGCAAATCCCTGCTCTAGCCACACAACGGGACATAGTTTCTTTCCCTCATCACATTGCATTTTGCTCAAGATTGATGTTCTGGTTAAACTGGCATGCAGTAGATTTCACGTTTGGATTCTAATTTAAGAAACGGATTGAGTGTCTCACTTTTAATATGAGCTTAAGTGAAGAAATAAATAGATGTGTAAGTATCTAAATAATTTGCGATGATTTTACATGTGTCTTTACACACAATAAATTAGAGCTTAAATTAACAGTGCATTATACACTTTCAAAAACTAACACAAGGATCTCATGATTTAGTAATGTGGTAATATCATGACTTAAGTAAATCCCAAATGCACATGTAGTTTTTAAAACCTTACATGGAATGCATACCTTCCTAACATAAAACTGGAAAAATTAAGCAGTGTATTTAAGATTTTATATCAATATTTTAATGGAATATTATTTAATAACTTCAAGGCTTACATCAAAATAATTAATATTATATTCATTACTGCATGGCTTAGTCTATTTTATGACTAGAAAATTAGTTTAAAGAAACATAATTAAAATAATTCTAGTCATGCCACCATAACATGATTAAAAATAAAGTAGGTACTGCAATATTGTACAACAATATAGCTAATTTAAATGCAAACCCCTTTTATGGGCTATTTATCTCCTCTTATGTATGTTAGGGGAATTAAAAAGGAAGTTTGTTTAAATGACTGATTTTTTTTTTTTTTTTTGTAGAAAAAAGGTCTGCAAAGCAAGTCTTGCTATTATTTAACAAATATTAATCATGCTTACATAGAGACCACTGAGAAAAATTTATTACAAGAAATTTGTGAACAGTCATGACATAAGAAGAGGAGAAAGCCACAGGGCTGAAATGACAGTAAGGTTTGTGTATGTAGTGCTCCTCTGGTAGTTAAATTGCAGGAATGTGACATTGATCTGAAGTGGGAGCTGTTTGAAGTAGTGACTGTCAATCTCTGTAATCAAAGGATGGCCCAGAGTCTTACTCAATTAGCCATTTTGGCATGACCGCTCAGTTTATAAAGTCTTACCAACTCAAAAAGTGATCTGTCCTCAAGAGACACTTCAAGAAGACTAAGTGGTTTGACGATAATGATCAGTCATCCAGGACTATAGCTTGGATTCTATTTTGTTTTGTTTTGGTTTGGTTTTTTTTTCAAAAGTACAGCAATGCCTCATTTAACTGACTGTACTTATTACAAGGTGAGCCAAATGTGGATTTAGGTATGAGTGCATGTCTGCTGCTGTTGAAATTACTGGAAGTTGATTGGATTATGGTTTTCTTTATACATTTATCTATGCTTTCAAGTAGAAAAGAATAAATACATCATGATATTAGTTTTAGAGGACATATATGCTTGTGGATTTGATTGTAACGTTCAGTGGTTTCCATAGAGATAATTTTTAAATGAGAAGAGAAAAATGTGTAGCATACTCCTGGTCTTTTCTCAGGATTATGTTTATCTTTTCTGATTCTATTTTTCTTTGATAATTATTCAGAAGATTTATTCTGAAGGTTTGTTCAGCTGTGTTAGGGGAAAATAGTAAACAAATATATAAAGGTGCAAAACTGAAAAAAGAGATTTAAGATTAATAATATTTTTATCCAAGTGTTCTTAAAGATGAATCTACTGTTTTGAAGGTTTTTAAGTGAACAATTAGGCAAATATTACCACCAGTAACCTAAAACTTTGGCAATTATATCCATTCTTTCCCAGGTACAAACACACTTGGAAAATCAGTCTAGATACCACATACAACAAAGCCAGAGGCACCAGGTGAAGCAATACCTGACCCTCGATACGAAGCTGTCCAGCCAGACGTTCTCCCTGTCCCACTCCCACACAATCCAGCCTGCAGGAGTGACCTCCATTTTAAGAAACGGACACATGCCTCCCGTCAGCGATATTGGCACACCAGAAAGTCCTGTTACCAAGCTGCTGGCTCTTGGAGGCGAACACGAAAATGCGGTAGGGGAGGGAGGGTGAAAGGAATGGGGAAATGGGCTTTGCATGCTTTAAAAAATTTTACATGATCCGCCTTGAATTTGTAGTGGGCAAGAGATGACTTTCTTTACTTTTCATGGGACCTTCAGTTGCAGTACCTGTTCCTTGAATCCTTTTGGATTACATGGTGGTTCCCTTGAATGCCTGTGAATAGCTTATTGCATGATCAGAGGCTTCTAAATTACTGTCACTTAAAATATGCTTTTGCTTTGTCATATATTGTTATACGTTTTTTGAATATGTACTTTGCAATGCAAAACTTTTTTTTCAGATGTTATTTCTGCCTAAAATTATTATCCTAGCTGCATAACAAAGTTAAATACTGATTACCTTAAAGATGTAACTGAAAGAATCTCTCATGCATTTTTCAGTTAGCTGATATATATGGGTTATCAAGGGTAAATTGGCATAGATATGCTAACTTTAGTGGCACCATCAATTTTAATAGAGGTACAGCTATTATATAATGTCAGATTCTCAGCCAGTGTGAGATGTAGATCATTATGGCCTTTAATACTTCAATAGATTTCAAAAGAGACTGCATATTAGGTAAAAGGGGAATTCCTACAGAAATGAGAAATGGAGATGCTGTATCATGTCTTGGGCTTTGACAGAGCATGAGAATCTTATAAATACACTGTGACCCATTTGAGCATTTGAATGTTATGCAGCTAAGTATGAAAGAACTTAAAAAAATAAACTTGACACTTCATGGAGAGCTCATCTGGGGCCCCTCCATTCTGCATTGACAACTGACATTGCGTGTCACATTTATGGGTTACCTTTTGTGGACATCTCTGTGGTGACCTCTGTGCTGGCAAGTGCAGCATGCTGGAACCATTCTCAGGCATTTTGGGTATCTGACCAGGAATAACCAGTGCCTGTCTCTGTACCACTCTGTCCTGGAGAGCAAGCCAGCTGCTTGTAACCACTGTCCTGAACTGTGATGGCTGGGAGAGTGATAGCTGACACTGAAGTCCTTAAAGGCATCTTTCCACTGATTTGAATAATCCCATTCCAGAGCCTCAGGGAGATGACTGGCAAAGTGTAATTTCCTAGTGTGGATGTGCCCTGTGGTTCAATGTAGGCTATGGTTATGTTAGTAAATAATGTAAAGCCCAAACACAGGCTGGTGCAGTGAACTGTAGTCATTCATATTGTCTAATTGCTGTAATTTCTTGGCATCCCTTTGGCCCTGACATCACTTTCCTAGATAAGCACAACTCCTGGGACAGCACATGCCCAGTTTTTAGAGAGGGAGAGGAGTACAAGTACTAGCTTTGCTGGGCCATGTGGTCTAAAAGTCTGTGTTGAAATGTCCCTGGCCTGTGTGACACTTTCTTTCATTGCATAGGACCCTCTACATTTCCTTCAGCTACAGCTCCTCAGACAGCTCCCAAGAGCTGCTTCAAAAGCCTCAGAGCACGTCAGCTGCTCCTGCAGATGATAGAGTTAACAGAATCTTTCCCACAGTTATTCTGTGAACAGAACCAGATCAAATTATCATTGAAAACTCATGCTATATCTTGTCCAAATCTATACATGTCTATATGTCTGCAAAATATTCACTCTTTTATCCCAAGGAATTAGTGATTCCATCTGCTTCAGTAGTTTTTGATTCAGATTAGAACAAAAGTGGGACCAGAAGGCTGTCTGGAGAAGTATCCAGTGTACTGCCAAACACAACGCAAACATCTCCTTGGTGAATCTTGAGAGCAGTGTGTAACACCAAATCCCGAGTGAATCATGCTCTTACAGAACCACAGGTTCCTTTCAGCCTTCCTGCACCAATGCAACAATACACTGTGGATATGACACATTTGATGAAGGTGACGGATCACAGTTACAACTTAGCAATGCACCCCAGTCATCTGATCTTGGTGTTGCAATAAGGGGTTAAAAAAGGGGAATGGGCTGGTGTTTGGGAGGAAAGAAATAACTTGTTAAACCACAAAAACTGTTTTCGCAAGAAGTAAAAAATGTGAATATTGTGTAGAGGTGCTTGAATTATTTGAATTTTAAGATATAAACTTCTGAAATTGTTTTACTGATGTAATAAATACTCAAGATTAATTCCACTGTGTTTTCAGAATAACATTATTTTCATAATTATTTGTAACGATTGTCTTAAAATATTATCTTATCAGATGGAAGAGGTGATTGAAGACATAATCAGTATGGAATCAAGTTTTAATGATGAAGGGATAGGTTGTTCTGAAACACCTCTACTAATGCAAAGAACTGTAAGTATTTTGTGGAATTTCATCTTGCTGTTTATAATAGAGAATTTAATTGAATGATTCAAACATGATACACTTCAGAGACTAAAGCAGTACTATGAGTGGACTATTTCCCTTTCTCTTCAGTTACTTATCATTTTGTCAAGAAATATTACAGGAAAGGGTTCCAATGTGGTGGGACACGTGTGGTTTAAGTTATTTGAATTTGGGGTTCTAGCCCAGCACCATGTCTGGTGCATAACCCATTGGAGGTACTAATTTCCATGCAGGACTACATATAAGAGGAGTCTCTAGACCCTAGAAGGTCCTTTGAAGTCTTGATTAATTACCCCTCTACCTCATCCAAAAAAATCAAAGCTTCCCCATGTAGTAGTTTCAACAGTACAGTAGGTTCTCCAGTGTCTTATGCTGAAGAAAGGATAGGCTCTGTTTCTTGACTTTTATAAAGACAAGTTGCACTTGAATTACTTCAAGGACAAAGACAAGAAACACAACTTTTCAGATTAAATGCTTTATAGAAATAAATGTAACAAACTGTTCTAATTTTGTAATGTCTTTTTGTAAAGAAAAGACAGCAGATTAACAAAGGCTACATACATTTTCATATATGTTACACATTTGAAGACCTTTTCTGGACACAACAATGCTTAGAGCATTATTATTTGTGAAGACAACACCTATCAATAACTGTAATGCAACACACTTTATAGAAGGGATGTTCTTTGTCCTCTCAACCCTAATGTATTTTTGGAATAATTTTCCACAGATTCTGTCCTTAGCACCTTAAAATGGGTACTGATAAAGGAAAACTTCACTCTGGTGAAGGCAGAAGGATTTTTACAGTACTTGACAGTCTACAAAGTTCATTTCAGAATACAGAGTCAGGTTCTTGCTCTTAATCACTCACTGTAGGAACATCTTTTTCTGACCACAGAACGTCACTGAGTACAAAAATAATTTAGGAGATAAGATCTTTACACCATTGTGTTGCCCACTACACAGTACAGTATTAATGGCAATTAACAGTTCCATGAATATCTGGAGTTTGCATGCAAGCTACAGAACTAATATGGTCAGACTGATTTATACATATCTCAGCACAGAACATAGCAACGAAATGCTCCCTGGGGAGTGAATTAATATTTTGGCTCAAGTTAACATGAGGCAGGGGAGGATCCTTTCAGGTGTGGTACTGTGATATGGTGATAAGAACCATGAATTCTGGGTTTTGGACTGGACTCATATTTGCTCAACACCTTTTAAAACGGGATGATGTTAATCTATGCTAATTCCAGCCTCATTAGCCTTTATATTCAGCCATGAAGGACATGAAGGAAATACAAAATGACTTTTAGGCCTAGCTGGTACGTTACTTGCAAAGATTTGAGACTCCTGCAACGCCCATGGGCTTGGTAATGGTATTCAGACTTTTGTTTGTGCTGAGGCAATCACCAGACTGCTACATAAACCAGGGAACAGCATGTATTTCCAAATCTCTGTGTGCAATACTACGGCAAAATAAAGCCTGCCTTCAACAAGGCACGTGAACTGTGTCAGTGTTGAGGTAATCAAGCAGTGTTTCTGTCTCTTCTGTCTTCTGTCAATGCATACTCCAAAAATTTGTGAAAGAAATGGGCATATGAAGGTGATTTAAGGCATTTAGCTTATGACTCATGGTTTTATGGCATCTTTCAGGCAACATCCTAAATCTACATGCAAACTTCTGGTCATAAGCTGTATGATAAATGAAGATAGAGAAGTAGGTAGAAAATAAGTGCGTTTGATCCAGGGTTTGATTATCACATTAAACATTAATGACATTCTTTAAAATCTGAGTCACAAATGTAAATATTATAGCAGTGTTGGACTAGGAGACATGTTCAGGAATGAGAGGACATCTAATTCCCCTGAGAAGAGGAACAGGGTTTGTGTTGTATTTAAAAAAATACCCATATTACCTCTCAAGTACTTCTGCACAAGGTGCCTGGCTATGGTGGCCGTCTGACATAGAGTAAGTGAGATCACAGGTGAGACTGGGTTGCCTGTGTACCTGGCTGATTTGGTATTTGCTTCTGTTTTGGGCTTCTGTGTAATGCTTAAGTATTTTTAGAATTTCATCCTAGATTTTTCCCTCCTTGGCAATGTCTTCAATTTGCTGAAACTGTGCAGGGTAGTCCTCTAAAATTCTGAAAACTCTCTTGTTTCTCAGAATATGGTATAAGGCTTGGGTGTTTTTTTCAGCAAAATCTTTTCTTGAACAAGCCAAATTCATGAAGCCATTTTCTTTCCTCATTTTTCTCAATAGATGGTGGCTGAGATTAGTGCTATCTGTTGTGTGTTGCAGTGAATTAATGTTTGCTTTAGTTAGATGCATGCATGTACCATTTTAATGGCACATTAAATGAGGACATTGAATTCTGTGAGACCACTCATGTGAGTAATTGCTCAGAGGCTCATTGTCTGACCCTGAATTAATGAATTACGGTCATGTATTAGTAGAATCAGAGAAGTGAAAACAAGAACATTCTTCCATCTCTCATTAAAATGATTACAGCTTCTGAAGAGTGGTTTGTCTGGCTTTTACTGTGTTTGGATCCAAATTTATAATTTCATAAAACTCTCTGGTTCTGGAAGACAAATTAAGAATTGCTCAAAGTAGAAAAATCTCTGGCTGTGTTTCTATTGCTCTTAACAGTACCCTAATAGTAGAAACATACTTTTTACAGTATTTTTTTAGAAGTTCAGTTAAATATAAGACTAGGTCCTTCCTATATAAAAGAGGTCTTGATTCTTCTGAAAACCTTCTGTAAACTCCGTTAAGTAAATATCTTTCATTTTTTTCATCAGACTTTCATTCTTATTCAAAATCCTCACAATCTATTCTACATTCTGTAGTGAATTTAAAGTGTATCAACTTCCAGATGCTCAGAACATAGGAAATGTAGATGTGCAGGTCTGTTAATGTAAAGCATATATGACACCATCATTAAAAGTTTAGGGCAAGTTCGAAAAAAACTCTAGTCTACATTCCTTTTAATATCTGAAAAATTAAAGTTTAAAAGCCATGCCGTGTTAAGGCAGATGTGGAGAGTATTAGTCACAGTGAAGAGAGCCAGAAAACTGAAGAGTTAAAAATTAGGATGTTTGTACTTTTCAGGGTGTGATTTGACAGCGTGTGACCTAGTGAACTTCTACTTCTGACTAAATGTTGGGGGTTTTTGCTAATATAGGTACACAGCCTCAGGACTCACCAGAAAACCCAATAATTTAGCAAGCACAACAGTGATCTCTATGAAAACATTTGGCATTTTACCAGCACTTTCATTCAGAAATAACTGCTGTAGCCCAGATAATCACTGTACAGCAACAGGGATAATGTCCTCTACTTGACATGCAGTCCACTACAACTTACATCAAAAGCATTAGGAGATTGACTGGCTTTGAATGAGAATAAAATGAGAGGATATTCATGTTCTGCAAGGGCACAGGTTTCTCTTGCATTGTTCTGGGTGGGACCAACCAGAAAAAAATATTTTGTGAACTTTTCCAAGGATTCTATGTTGTCTTTTGTTCTGGTGCACATGAAAAAAAGAGCTTTCAGAAGTATTCTTGAAGAACACTGGGGAGAGAGGCTCTGTAGCAATTAGATGACTGGTGGTGAGAGCTAAGGAATAGTGCAGAGTAGTGCTTGGGACAGAGCACTACCACAAAACTGGACTTAAAAAAAAATCACCAGCAGTGGCCCAGCTGGTGATATGTTGAATCAGTTGTGCTCACTGTTGCTAGTGTAGTAGGTACTGAATGACTAAATAAAATGGAGCAGTTCTTTTCAGGTTTCTTTGGAGAAAATGGAAAGTTTCTCTCCATGGCAAACCTGTTCATTGAGTTTTTACCATGTGCAATATTAAATAAAGCCAAGAGAAAATGTTTCTATGTTGATTTATTCATAATACTTAGAAATGTTTTCTTTAATTATCCCCTTGAATGAACTTGCCAGCAGGAACATTTCCTGAAAGCAATGGCTTCTAACCAGTAGAAAGCACAGATTTTTTTATTATATATGGATAAATGCACCATAAGCATGATTTGAAGGATTATGCTCACTCAAGGAATAGAATAGCCTTGGTAGTTCTAGGTAAAAGCTGGAGTAAATATTTGTTAAAATGGGTTATTTTAAAAAAAAATTCCAAAACAGTTTCCAAAATGGTTCTTTGCTTTAAAGGAAAAAAATACTTAAAGATTTGAAACAGCATTAATACCTCTAACAGCTCCAGCTCTAACTGCATACTGAAATCATTACGGTGTCATTGGTGCTTTGAAGTTCACATCACCTCAGAGATTTAGAGCTGTCACTAGCAATGAATCTGTTGTTGGGAACTTTGTTTAACTGTGAAGCGAACCAAATTTCTTTGGTTCTCCTTTGAATCCAGTCTGATGCTTGTGGTATTTATATGCTGGGAAAGGAAGAACTCACTCACTAAGAGAGAGGGGAAGCAAAAGCACCTGAGCATGCTGAAAGGCAGAAGTTTTGCTAGCTGTTAGGCTGCAGGGCTGAGCCAGGGGGGCAGCTGGCTGGCAGAAATGGTGGCAGTGCTGTGTGAAGGCATTGCCTTGTGACAGGTCACCTCTTGAGGGATCCTGCAAGGCTTTGCTGCTTCACTTGCATGAATTCATTTCATACATTCACAGTGAATTATTTCACAAAGACTGGGAGCTATGGTCTGCTTTCAGCCCTCTTTGGAGTCAAGTCAGTTGGGATTGCTCCGCTTCTGTCACTCTTGCAGGAAAACATCTTAGGGAGAAAATCCTCAGTTGCCCTGTGGCTCATCTGTATTTGTTGATCTCCTTTGGCATTTGAAAAAAAATCTTGTGTTGTACAGGCATTGAGTAGAGGTTATATCAGGACAGGGCAGGATAGATGTTTTCCTTCTTTAATTTTTATGATTCTGTTAACTATGTCTGGTATAAAGTTCTGATTAAACCTGTTAACTCTGCATTTTATT